TGTTCCTGCGGCGGGTTGGGGGGAAGAGGGAGGCTGGAAAAGTTACGAACAACCAGCTCTATCAGATGGAGATGCTTGGAGGGGGGGGGGGAGGGTGTTGTCTATGTGCGCGTGTAAGGGTCTACACAAGCACCCGGATATGGGGGGGGGGTTAGGGCTCCCATTGCAACGGACGTTTCAGATTTTTAGTGTGCATTTGTGCATCCTCAACCTTTCCGCGTTTCTGAAGCTGGTCTCGTTCCCCTCCAGGGGAAACGCTGAAGCCCTCCAGATAATTCGTATTAATCCCAGGTTTCTGCTCCCCCAGCCCAGTTCTTCCCTGCGCTCTTCTCTTGCCTCTAAACCCTTTTAATGGCCTTTTTCTTTTCCCAAACGCGCTTCTCTCTCCGGATTCACATCGCCCTTTAAAAGGAAGAAGAAGGGGGGAAAAACCCCATACATTAATCTGATTTTAATATTATGATTATTAAGGGGAGGGGGGGGAACGAGAGATATCTCCTAACAGGAAATGAATAACAACCCCAGAGATTTCTTTCTGTGCTCTTGGCATCCTGCATGTTTTTTTCCCCCCTGGATGTGTGTGTTTGTGTGTGTGTATGTGACTAAAATGTACCCGCTGAATCACTTTCTTTCCCCCCTTTTTGGTTACGGATCTGCTAGCAGCAGATTAGATCATCCGGTTTATTCATTCGGAGAGCAAGTAAGTCCGCCTGGATTTCTCTCCCCACCTAAAGTTAGAGGGCTGAATGTCCTCCTTCCTGGGTCTACTTACTCGGGAGTAAGCTCCACCGTGGCGTAGTGATTTGCAAAATTACAAGGCCACCGAGAGCGGGTGTAAATCTGCTTGACAATGAGACAACAAGGAGGTCATATTAATCACGAAGGCTTGGCACCCAACTTTCTGAAATCCCATGCCTGAGATTTTGCAGTGCCCGCTGCAAAACTTTCAAGGACACCCTCCCCCCCCCCCCCCCCCCATTTCTGCTCTCCTGCCTCGATTTCCAGATTACTTTTAGAGGCACAATTCCTCCTCTACAGCTTCAACCTTATTCAGTTGCTTCTTAGGCACAGCTCCCATTCCCTTCTCCCCCAAGCCAGTGCTTCGCCCCCTCTGATTCGGGGATCCCCCCGCCCCCCCCAAATAAAGTTGGTGGGAAGCTTTTGCTGCCTGGCATCCTGTCTTTCTGGTCATGTCTTCCTTTTCGGCAAAGTCTTTTGGAACAGGATTTGGAGAAGGGAATGTTAAAGTGTTTCAGAAAGACCTACCTCTGGCGTTATGAGGCCGTTATTGTTTTTCCGGAGAATGCAATTCCCTTTCTAAGCCGTTTAAGGTTTTCGGGTAGCTATTCTGTTTCTTCCATGCAGCAAATGTCAACTCTATCTCAACTTCAACAACAAATAAGATGGAAAGGGGAAGAAAAACAGAACAAAACAAGACCATTCATTTGAATGGCCGAACCCCAAGGATTGATCTCTTCCTTTCTAGACAAGAAGCCAATATTCTTTTTCTCTTTCCTGTCCAAATTCACTCCCCCCCCCCCACTTTTCTTTTTCTTGTGTGTTTTCTGGGAAAGATTGCATTTAATTGCCAAGTGCAGAATCAAGTTGACTTCTTAATTCCCCAGCAGGGTGTTGTAACCACTGGGTTTCCTCTTTATTTCAAAGGCGTGCTAATCCAATAAAAGAGAACAAGTGAGCTCAGTCCAGATACCCAGATAAAATCTAATTTTGTGAGGCAAGCTACTATTCTCAGATGACTGTCCTGGACTCTTAAAAAAAATCAAGGCATTGATTCCACTTGTTCCTGGGGAAGTGGAGTTTCTTAATAATAAAGATTTATCCTTGTGCGGTAAGGAAAGGAATATAACCCTTGTCAAGCGTTTGTTGAATAATAATAATAATAATAATAATAATAATAATAATAATAATTTCTTGAGAGCAGTGGTAAGGAATGTCTATAAAATACTCACGAGGTTCCAATATTGCAATTGCAGATTTAAGGGGGATAGTTTGTCCTGGGTATGTGCTGCCTTAACAAATGCCACCAGCTCATAAATGACGTGACAGATGTCTCCCAAAAGCCAATGTGGGTTTGTTACAGGAGAGCCTTTGTGTCTTTTCGGTTATTAATGTCAGAATTACTGGGTGACAAATCTGGCATGGCCAGGAAGCAATTGAAGGGGAGAATGCTTTATGGAAAAAGTCAGGTCTGATGTCAGAAGGGGGGTCACCGAGTAATTTCTGCATCGCTCCGGTTCCTCCACCCCTTGGCTTCCTCCCTGCCTCCCCCAGCTTAATCTTGACTTCAAAAATAGTAACCAGGTCTTCCCTTTCTTTGGAGATTATTTTCAGCTGGAGGAGCAGGGAGAGAGTTCTCTAATGAGCCAGAACACACAAGGCACTTGCAGATCTTGACCAGGTTAGCCTTTCACCTCTTTATTTTCTTTAAAGAGCTACGGAAGCAGACCCAGTTGAGTCTCTTGGAGAGATGAGTCTTAAGAGGAAAGTGGTGAGGGTGAAGCTGCTGGGGAACTTCCCAGCTCTCCCGAAAGCATGGTGGCACTTTGGCGAATCGGGCAAAGAGATTCTGTCCAGTTTGGTCAAGCAACGGGGGTTGTCTTTGGGCTCCTGATTTGGGGTGGAGGGGTGTGCTGGGGGTCCCTGTCTGTCTGATCATCGCACAATTTGGAAACGGAGCCAACGGGAGGGTCAGACATGGGATCCTCGTCTCACAAATGCCCCGAAAAAATCACTGCTGCTTATATTTTTGGAATCGCTGTGAATCTTTCAAGATGCTGATATTTCACTGTCCGGATGAATCTTCTTGGCAGAAGCTGGGCTGAATTTTCAGTTGTTGGATACATTATTTATTTGATTTGGCTTCCTAAGGCTTATGTTCAGACTCTTCATAGATTCCTGCTTATCCAGGAACAAGCCTCTTTTTGCTTCTCATATTCTTAAGGCACCACCTCTGGCTTTGTCGTGATTCTGTTGATCGCAATGTGACCCGGATCTAACAGTAGGGAGAGAGAGAGAAAAAAATAACATTTTGCACACCGGTCCTTCCGTGTAACATTAGAAGCCTCCTTCTGAGAAGATGCTCTCCTTTAATGCATTCTCTGGGGATCTCTTTCTCTTTCTTTTGCTGAATCAAAACTTTATTTTTTTCCCACCCACCAGCTAATCTGGCTTCTTTTTTTAAAAAAAAAATTCTGTTGCAGGCTGTGGTGCCAAAGGGGTGAGTTGCTTCCCCTTGATCATCCTGGAGAAGCTGGACACGTGGTGGTCCTCGCTGGGAGTGTTAGATGCTGATGCGTTGAAGGGCGTGAAACCGGCAGCTGCTTTCTGCTAGCATCTCCGTTTCCTGCAAAGAAGAAGAAGAAAAGCAGCACCAAATCCATTTATTCATTTTTTAAAAAATCATCATCGCCGAAACTGTCCCCTCGAACTTTCTTGGCAAAGGAGCGATCTCCGGGAAGATTTGAGGCGTGCATTCTATTTTTTCTCTTTTTCTTTTTTTAGCCTAAAGCATTCATTTCCTAAAACAAAGTGAACGAAAGCATCGGGCAGCTTGAAAGCCCTTTGCTGGGTAGCAGTTAGCATCGGGTGGGACTGAAAACTATACTCAACCACATAACTTTTTAGCCCTTCTTCACACACACACACACACACATACACACACACACACACTCATATATGTCCTACCACCGCTGCCCTCGACTGGTCAAATTTCATCACAAAATGAGAATTTGATAGCTCTGCCGATTGATTGAAGAGAGTCACCTCTAGCTCTCTTCACATCCAGACTGCTTAGCGGTTGAAGTTGAACAAGACTTGATTGCTGATCAGTTGGAAAAGCGGTGCCCATCGTAGAGCTGTTCCCCATGGCTAAAACAGAGAGATAAAGAAGGGCCACCATCATCAGCTGGGCTGCTTCAGGGTTGGTCTTCCATGTGAGGTTTCCATGCTGATCCGGAGAACCTCCCCAAAGCTGGTCTGTGACTTGCTCAAGATTCCAGGATCCCTTGCCCTTGGTTTCATCTGCCATGCTTCACCACGCGGCACTCTTATTGCACTGTCTGCCTCTGGTCATGGGACAGTATGATATCTGCAAATCCTGGGTGACCACAGACAATGGGCCAATGTGGGAGTTTTACGCTTGCCAGCCCAAAGCAGTGGCCATGAAGGACTTTGCTACCGTCAGGGTGGAACCATCCGGCATCACCTGTGGGAATCCGCCCGAGCGCTTTTGCACACATGTAAGTAACACCCGTGTCTGTTTATTTGCATCCTGTTTCACTCTATTTGCACTTCTCCCAAAGTCTCGGTGGCCACCCCAGAGCACTATGAAAAGTGGCTGCCATATTTGCACGCAACACCAACCGCTGTTAGTGGGACGTATGTATGTTTTGTCAAGTTTCAACGTCAACATAGTCCAATTTTGGTCTTGATCCGGCCCCAGCCTTTTCATCAAATGCCAAGGGTCTCCTTTGGCCCAGGAAACGCTGGTGGTCTGCAGCCCTTGGGGACAGTGACACCAGTGAAGGTGAGACAGATCAGAGAAATGAATGTTCAAAATCGAATAGTTGTATCTTGAAAATGTGAGAGTTAGAGGAGGTGGGGAGGAAGAGCAGCAATTCAATCTGAGTTTGGTCCTTGACACGTCTGGTTTTTTCAAAAGTATTCTGTAGGCAGAAAGCCCTCCTTTTATTCCAAGATTTGCAAATAAAGCTGGGGAAAACTCTTTTCTGGAACAAACTCTAAAGTATGAAGATGTGCTTTTGCTTCCTTGTCCTTGGTAGAGTGCCTGTGTTACATGTGCAAGGATGGAGGTTGGATCCCATATTAAACTGGGAGTGAATCTTCTCTAGGAACCAGGACAGTTGCAGTCAGCATTATGCCAGGGGACTTAACATAAAGAAATTTTACTGGGTGAATGGGGGACTGGACCTTGTTCTTTAGCTGAAGGACAAGGATTCAGCAGTCAAGAGATGGCTTTACAAGGTGGGGTAGAGCTGGGGAAGAGGACTTACTGGTCAGTGGGCTGCCAGCACTGGCTGGGTAGACAAATGAGTTGAGTTGGCTTAAAGCAGGTTTTCTGATGCATTTTAAGGATCAATATCTGTGTTGGATTTCTGAATTTAAATGTGGCCATGACAGGAATAATTGGAGTCTCCTTGCTGCCTCATTCATTATTGCCTAAACATGGAAATGGTCCTGGAAATTTAAGCCGGGGGGGGGG